TGTACGCCTGTCAGATCACGGCCGAGCCCAGACTCATGGAGCCCATCTACCTGGTGGAGATTCAGGTGAGACGCCTCGTTCTTCAGATGGACTTCACTATGTAATCATCATCATTTTCAGGTGTGAGCGTCTGTTCTCTTCTCAGTGCCCAGAGCAGGTGGTTGGCGGCATCTACGGCGTGTTGAACAGAAAACGAGGCCACGTCTTCGAGGAGTCTCAGGTCATGGGAACACCCATGTTCATCGTTAAGGCCTTCCTGCCCGTCAATGAGTCTTTCGGTAAGTCCTTCTGGTTCTGCTTCCATCCCCATCACATTTAATGAGCTTTTAATCCAGGGATTAAAGTTCCGTCGCTACGACGGATTTCCGTCAGTTCATAAAGACAGTCACTTACTTCATTCCTGAATGATTCAGCCGTTCGAACGAATCAATTGAATGAATGATTCAGTGATAAAATCAGGGACTTGCTGCCACCTGCTGGTGGATTTTTTTCATTTTTAGCGTATAATTTCAGTTATTTGAATACTATTTCTGTATTCAAAATTGTATATTTAAAACAATCTCCACATGAATTTATGAATTTAATTGCACTCATGCTCCCTTTGAGCCTCAAACGTCTGAATGTACCTACAAGCCACTTTTGTGTTCTTCTGTACCACCGCTGTAGTACAAATTAACTTAATACTAATTTCATATGGTTGGTAACTTATTTGTCTTATTCTACATTGTTTTAAATATAAATTTTTAAAAGATTATAAACCTAAATTTTTGAATTTGACATAGATGAACGGATGGATCTTTAATCCTTGTTAATCAAACAAAAGCATTTAATGTGCTAAAGGTTCATTTTGGCCTAAAATAATGCTCTTAACCCCTTAATTGTCACTCACATTTTTGAATATAGATGTGAAAGTGCACTATCCAAACTTAAATTTTTATATTTCATGAATGAAAATATTTTGTAGCGTGATATTGATGTACCATTTTCGTGGTAATGCAACGTCTGATTTTAAAATGGTTTTCAAAGGATGAATTGAGATTAAGTTTTCAATTGATACATAATTTCTGATGATTTCTAAAGTGTGATAAAGAAAAAGGCAAACGAAGAAGACTTTTTGTGACAAGGTCAGAACTGCTGTTATGATGTAGATTTGAGGTGCACTCTTGTCATAAATTAATCTATTTTCCTACATAGATATTTTACCACCGTTTGTTAAATTTAGGAGTCTTAGACCTTTCCAACGATATAGTTTGTCATGATTAGATTAGGATTTAATTGTAATTAGGGATGCACCGAATGTTCGGCAACCGAAATTATTCCGAATAAGCGAAAAGACCGAATAATATGTACCGAACAATGACTAATGCGATCAAATAGAGGCACGCACTAATGCAGCAAACATGTCGGCAGTGTGAAAGTATTTAAAACTATCAGAGAAAGCAGCAGAAATCATTACAAGCACCGACTGCGAGAGACTGTTTAGTGCTGCATCACGTCTCCGATGAGAAGAGGTGGCTAATGCTGGTGGTTAGGCTACTGTATGATGATTGAAATCACCTCAAACGATTAGTAAAACTGTAGAATGTTATATTTTCTAATGCACGCACGAATTGCATGTATTCTGACAGCGCTGCACGAACTCGCGGCGCCAGGTTTCAAAGTCCAAAGCGCGAGGAAAATCTGTGCTGAAACTGTTACTTGTCAGTTGCTCAGTAACATTTGTGAATTTTTTTTTAAAGGCATGTGACGGTAGGCATTACCCTTCAAATTGCGCAAATTGAAATTGCGAATTGAAAATACGCCTAATGGAAACGCGTCAATTTCATGAAAACGCCCATATATCGCAAAAAAGTTTACACTCGCATGAGGTGGTTTTTCAGGCAATGCGAACAAGGAATAATTCGCAAAACTGCAATGGAAACGGCTTTTTCGCATTTACAGGTCACATGGTGTATGTAAAAAGTCATATGATCATTCTTCAATGTACTATAACCTCCAAGAAACACATCATACGTGGCTGCTCTCCAGTATAAGGGGCTTTCCCTAAAGTTAATGCTTAGACAATTTACACGTAATGAGAATCATTTATAAATCTGCATGCTGTTGTCAACAAAAAGAAGCACTGAGATCTTCCTGCGGGTTTCTGCCTAAATAAAAGCAGAGAAAAAGCAACAACTCCATCATTCATAAATAATAGTATTGTAATTTTACTGTTGTTCTGTAAAGTAAAATATAATAAAAAAGCAAGAATAATAGTGGTAATAATAATTACCCTACAACAGCTCTATTAATACATTTATTATAACATTCACACAGTGTTCAGATTGGGATCTGTAATATATTCTAATGTTTTAAAATAATTCTCTTCTGCTCAGCAAGTCTGCCTTTATTTGTACAGTAAAAAATACATGCCTGATTCAAGTCTCAAAAATGGCCAAAAAATATTAGGCTATTTTACTAACTTATTAATTTTAAGTTACATTTTGCTTTGATGGTATAATGTCTGCTGGAATGTTTAAAAAAATATTCAGTCAGTGTTAAGTAAACATTTTTAAATTGTTGTTTTGTAATTGATTTTTTTATTTAAAAAGCACATTTTGGCTATTTCATTTATGCAATGGTGAAAGAAAAAAAAGTGCGGGAAAAATGTGAAAAACCGTATTCGGCCTTCGGCCCAGTGTTTCATTTTGTTCGGCTTCAGCCAAGAATTTTCATTTCGGTGCATCCCTAATTGTAATATAGTGAAGTAAACTTAGGCGTCCCACAGAGGGGGACGGGTGACAGAAGTTAACTCTT